ATATATATATATATATATATATATATATATATATATATATATATATATTATTCACCATAAGATAAACAAAAAGAATGTAACAATATCGATTGGGCACTCCACTTTTAATTTGTCAACCCCTTTTTAACTTATGGTCCCATTCTCAACATAAAATTATCATGTTTGGTCCAATTTGACACCATCAGTATTATAACAAAAATAATTTTTAGCGATAATAAATATTGATATTAATAAAGAGTGTTAAAGTCTTTATAGGTACTAATTAAGTGTCATTAGAATCAATGTCGCTAAAGATTTTATAGACATATAAAAAAAAATATTAATTGCCATTAAAAATACATATTTAATAACAATTACCACTAATAGTCATTTTTAATATAATGTAATATTTTAAATTAAAATATAAAGTCGTATTTGTTGGAGGATATCATTATATTTTTATCTCTTTTTTTTTTCGAACCTCAAAATGAATATTTAATGTTAAGTGTCTAGATTCATTTATCTCCTTAATTTTATTATTTTATTAAGTAATGTGGTTTCTTAACTTATTTAGATATGATTTTATGTAATTACGGCTAAGTTCATAGTGCATGCAAAATTATTTATTAAATGTGAGTATAATTAGTAGTTTTTTTTTTTGTCAAATCTAACCTATAAAAGTCTCTCTTATAATTATGTCGCTATATTAGTGCATGGAACTATATACTTATCCGAGGAGTATTTAATTTTTGAAAAATGTGTTATATATACGAATTATTGACTTTTTATTGCGTTTAATTTAAAGCTTTCTTTTCAAGGACTTAAACAAAATTCAATTATATCGGAATGAATGATACAAAGTCTTCCAGCTTTTCATATATTGAATCTTGAGTCGAATTGATCGTATCATATGCAACGTTCATCAATTATATCATGAATCCTTTAACGAAAAATTGTGATTTTATAACAATTTTAAAAATAAAACTTTTTTAATGATATAAGTGTATTTCATGTTTATCTTCCTCTTCTATTATTCTTACACAACATGATATTATATAGAATCCACCTAATTAATATTCCAACAATTCATCGTACCATTAGCTAGCTAGTAGATGACAAGCCAGTAAAATTATCATACGAGAAAAGCTACGAATATATAAGAATCTGAATTAATTAGTTCCATTAATGCTTATTAAATTATTTACATAAATTACCAAAAATAATAGAGTAATAATGATTTTTGTCATGATTTTTAAAAATAATTATCTCAAATTATATGTCAATATTTAATCACTTTAGAAGTTCAAGATACAATAAGTTACTCTCTTTTTTCATATATAGACTATAAGTAAACATCTAATGAAGAAATATTATAGTAAAATGATTTATTTTTTAAAATTTTTCATAAAGAAAATGACTGATAATTTGAGACGGAAGGAGAATAAAGCTAACAATTTTCTTACACAATGATTAATTTGCTATCATTAAAATCTTTATACGAACACAGTCATAATATACATCATTATGATCATCTAACCATGAAGAGATTAAATCAATATCAAAGATCTGATTGACAGACTAAATCATGCTAATTAAAATTCTTTAGATTTAGTCAATGAAATTAATTATAATATTTATTTATCAAATATAATATGGAGTGTAAAACGAATCGCCTGTGTATTATCAATTATGTAATAAACAATTAATAATTGGGAAATTGCACATGATAAGGGATCTTAAACATACTAACTAATATCAAACTCTTTTCTCCTATTTATAACTCCATTTTCTATATTATTTTCTCCCTTTAATTTGGGAAAATAATGATCTAACAATGGTTATTAAAAATATAAAAAAACAATAAAAATATTATATCATCAACTATATATCATAAGTATCACAACTCAAGTTGATTTGGTTGATTGTCTACGTAGTTAGTATGAAAAAATATTATATCAATCATCAACTATATATCATACCAACCAAAAATATTACGTAGTTTTTTCTCAATTATTTATCTAAAAATCATTATTTGTGTTGTCTTGTCAAGGTTGTTGTTCTTCTAATTGATTAATTATTGAAGTGGTTGTTACTTCTCTTTTAGTCTTCTTTCTTAATTATTTTTATTTATTTAATTAATTAATAGAATAGACGTAAATCTTTAGGACAAACATTATTAGAATAATCGACATATAAACTCAATTTGGATTTGTTAATGTGTAATGAATTACACTATACTTTCATCATCGATGCGATGAGATAATTGAAATTTCATCATCTTTAATTAATAATCTCGAGTTTCAATTTTAAGAATAAGAAAAACTATAGAAAGCACTTCCTCATTTGACATATTATATAAATGGAAACTAAATTAGTTACATAAGTAAATTTTAAATAATAATAATTAAATAAAAATATTTAAAACTATAAAATAAATAGAGACTAAATAACAAGAAGAATTCAAAGCAATTTAACTGGTGGAAAAAAAATATATTATCTAGCATGCTCTCTAGGATGATACTTGCAATATATTTTTTATAATTCCACGTAGATATAGTCAAAGAAATAGAGATAACAAAATCATTATAGTCAATTTGAGTTCTAAGTGTAAATGTGTTAAGTCACATTATTATAATAATATTTAAAATTATATTTATCAATAATCGACATATTAAAAAAATACTTATGAACCTATAATTATAAATACATAAGGTTAGTATACAGTGTATAAACAATATGTGAATTATTTTTTTCTTTTTTAAGTCATGAAATAGATTAATAAATGCAGTCACAAGTATAAAACTATCTTCTACAAGATTCAGTCATATAATACATTTTTTCCCCTTTTTTGCTTGCTTTTCTAGCTTCTTTTCTTGTTCCAATTTTCACTACAACCATCTTCTTAAAGAACTTTCTCACAAACTCTATAAATTAAATTAATCTATGTGATAAAGTTAAAATTTTCAAATTATCAATAAAAGTTGGTAACATTATCCATCGTATATTTTAGCCAGTGTGTTAAAGGGTGTTGATCGATATTTCTTCGTTAAAAAATCTATGTTATATAGTTAATTTCGAATTTATCAATAAAAGTTGGTAACATTATCCGTTGTATATCTTAGCCAGTGACGGAGCCACATGTAGTGAAGGGTGTCGACGGACACTCCTTCGTCAAAAAATTACATTGTGTGGCTAGAATTATAGTTCGCTCATTTGCAGCCGAATTATCTTTAAAGTTTGTGTAATATTATTTTAAATTGATTAGGAGCTAACAGAGGTGATTGTGTTAAAAAATATTCCAATAATTATAAACCATTCATTTTAATATATATTTGAAAACTGAATCTCTTTTCATATTTAGAATTTAAAAAGTGTTTGTTTCGATGTCGCAACAAAAAGTTTATCCATGTGTGT